AACTTGAATGTGTGTTAGAACATCTAGTTAGGTTGTGATACTGTGACTAGTGAAGGATGCAGGTACTCTCTCAGGTCATGTTAACGCTCTCCAATGACTGTCTTCAAGCTGAAAAATGTCCTTACCCCCCACTCCCTTAATTTCATTGACTTCAACATTTTAATCATGTTCTGGCCATAACGCAGAAGGTCCATTGGCATACATTGTCAGTGTACTAACCACCAGTTTGATTACAAAATCACTTTGAGGCATCTTACTACCATTTCCCCAACATTGGAATACTCCCACTAATGGAAGAGACCGTAAAAAACAGAGAATAACGTAAGCACATAACGTGCTGGGCATCGGTAGCTTTGTAAGTTATGCAGAATGCTTTTTGGCGAGTGAGGGGTCAACTGGTGTACAAAAGATGTTTCACATGTGGCATTTGATCAAATGGTGCCATTGCAACTACTATTTGTACAGTATTGGGCGGGCGGCAAAACACTCACCAATTGTGTTATAATAGCAAAGCAAATGCCACCATTCACACATCTTTTTCTGATCCCTCACTAGATGGGTATTACAGTACTGTCTTTCTGTCTGGTCTGTCTGTCCACTACCTTAATCTTAAACCCCTCTCGCTCTATGACATAGAACAAAGGAAAATTTGCATTCACACACTTAGACTAAGCACGTAAGATATATTTGATTTTCTTGGTATCTCTGTTTGTATCAAAGAGCTCAATGGCAGACCCAGACGTGGTTTAAGCAAAGTTCCCTTTAGATTGGGTTTTAGAGTTATGCCTTTTTTTTAAATATTTCCTTGCCAATTATCTATCAAAACTCGGTGTGCATTAGAGTAGTATCAATTAACGACCGGCATGATGTTCGGACGCATTATCTTTCGGACCAGAAGTGGGGCAGGCTCACTCTTATCGTGGACAGGTAGGTTAGGATCGTCAACCGAGGTATCCTGCTGGAGACCATTCTGGTGCGCAGCGGAGACGATCGCGGGGCGGCTGAATGCGCAGTCCGAACATACTCATTATCGGACATTATGGCGGACAGTCGGACTCACGGGCTCCTGCTAGCTAGCGAGCTGAGCGAAGGTATATCCCCTTGCTACTGTACTTAGCGCCATGCAGGCGTACCGCCCATCAGCTACTACGTGCGCTCCGGCGTACGCATGCGCACTAGACGTGTACACACGTGGGTGAACCTGTCACCAACCAGAGCCAGAGCCAGAGCCAGTTGCAGTGACCGGTTTCCGCAAAGTGCGAAGTCGGCGGCTCTCAACCTCTCCTAATCGTCAGCGAATTAACAGGTTCATAGGGGACAGATGGGTGCGTGCTGAATGGGGGGAATGAAGCGGCCGTTTTTACGTCACATTGTATGTTGCCCTCTCAACCTAGTTGCTTTAGCTAGGTCTTTGGGATCACCTACCGGGGCGTGCAACGGCGTGTTCCACACACATTGAGTATATAATTATATATATATATATAATTATATATAATTATTATATATATATGGAGCTAGGGGCTAGGGTGCTCGCCGCCCGTGATCGGACTGGGGTGACGCGGTGATCTGCTCGTCTAGTCTAGGGCCAGGGCATGAAACAAATAAACCAGCCGACCCTATGCGAGTTCGATGTGCTGTTATTGCCGGTGATTCCCTTTCGTATATACTGCGTCTCTCGTAGCCTACTGAAAATGTTATGTCAATGAATAGATAGTGGGGTCCCCAAAGGTCTGATAAGATAGCTACCTGCGTAGAACTAAGACACTTCTGTTTACAGCACAGTAGTACACATTGCATACAGAAGTGAGAGGAGACGCCTTCTGATTCGATACGGGTACCGTCGGCTTGTTGACTACATAGTGATATGGACATGGTTGGGACAAGCTGAGCCACTTACTCGTTGTTTCACATGCAAATCGGGCTACAGTGTCTACCTGAGCAATCTCAAATGCAGACGGGGCGCTCCGAAGCGTTGGGGTTGTATCGTGTCAGCATTGACGCGATCCACGCAGTCATCGATGGCGCAGTCGAGAGGCCTCTCCTCTGCCGGGCTGTCTTCGACAAGCTCATTCCAATCGAGTCGCCGTTATACTACCATTTTCTTAACAACTAAGACGGTAGATTCTTCGTGTCTTCGTGGTTCTGCAGCCCTTGTAAGTGCAAGGCCTTGAAGGAGGAAGGCTAAGAACCACGAAAACACTCTAATTTGCCATCTTACCTGTACATAAAAAACGCGCGTGGGCGAACCTGGTCTGTCTATTGTGGCTTATACATTCTCCTCCTAGGCTCAAGGTGATGGCTACAATGCAGGAATATGCACCTTTACGCGAGAGAGTGTATATTGGCTATGTGGGTCCATCTGTTTCCGACCACGATGAGAGCCTTCTTCCTTCAAGGCCTTGCACTTATAAGGGGTGGACCCAGGAAAGCATGACATCAGCAATAAAAGCAGTCGTTGACGACGGTATGAGCGTCAGGGGAGCTGCTGAGTATTATGGGGTGCCAAAGAGCACACTTGGGGATCGTATAAGTGGCCGTGTTCTCCCGGGAGCCAAAAGTGGCCCAAACACCTACCTGAGTTCTGAAGAGGAAGAAGAGCTAGTAAATTTTCTTTGCCGCACAGCCCTTGTTGGACATGCACGAACTCGGAAAGAAGTGTTAGCCATTGTCAATCGCATACTGTCTTCTCGGGGCAAGAATAAAGATGTGTCTCCTGGTTGGTGGGCAGCATTTGTAGCGCGCCATCCAATGCTTACGTTGCGTACTCCTGCCACACTCTCAATCTCACGGGCAAATGCTACTGATCCTGTAGTTATCGATAGTTATTTCGATGAACTGGAAAGGGCTTTGGAAGAGAACAGCCTCACTGACAAGCCTTGTCAAATCTTTAATATGGACGAGACTGGTGTGCCCTTAGATCCCAATCCACTAAAGATTGTAACATGGAGGGGCCACAAAAACCCTGCCCAAGTCTCTAGTGGGAGTAAGGGACAAGTCACTGTAGTAGGGTGTGTAAGTGCGGGTGGCCAATGCTTGCCACCAATGGTGATATGGGATCGGAAGCACCTTCCTCCCGAGCTAGCTGTGGGTGAGGTTCCGGGAACAATCTATGGTCTCTCCACCAAAGGGTGGATTGATCAGGAGCTGTTTGATTTGTGGTTCACCCAGCACTTCCTCCGTTACGCCCCTCTGGTACGTCCCTTGCTGCTGTTGATGGATGGCCACTCATCGCACTACTGTCCATCGACAATCAAGATGGCAGCAAAGGAAAAAGTGATCTTGTTCACCCTTCCACCCAACACTACTCACCTTACCCAGCCCTTAGACAGAGCGGTTTTTGGACCATTCAAGGTCCAATGGAGGCAAGCTTGCCATCGCTACATTGTTGAGCATCCAGGAGCTAGAATCACCAAGCACAATTTTTCTGTTGTATTCAGTGAGGCTTGGGTACTGGCAATGACCCCCAAGAATATAGCGTCAGGCTTCCGAGCAACAGGTGTGTGGCCACCTAACCGGAATGCAATCGTTTTACCAACTGATCCAAATAATCTTGCTGCAAAAAGTGGTGTTGCATATACATGCCTTTGTTTACTCCAGCCAAGCGTAGGTTATCTTCCTCATGCTCGTCCTCAGACTCTCCTATCCCTGATGCGTATGTGCCTGCAGGGAAGCATGCCCCACTTGTTGGTTTTCTTGACTCCCCCGATTACCAACGTCGTCCTGCTGCTACTGCTATGAAATCTTCAATTCGTGTCCTCACAAGTGCTGAGAATCTTCAAAGAATCAAGGAAAAAGAGCGAGAGAAGCAAGCCAAACTGAAAGAGAAGGAAGAAAGAGTGAGAAGGAGAGAAGAAAGACGAGGATTACAAAAAAATCACAGAAAAGCCACCTTCCTTTCTCTGAAGAAGAGTTGGTTAAATTCAGTACCAGGTATGAGAATGGATATGACATATCCACTGATGATCGTTACAACGAATGGCTTGCAATAAATCATCCAAAAAAAGTAAGTATATATATATGTTTGTTTACAGACCATTATGTGTATGCTGCATGGATTATGTTTTTTGTGTGACATTCAAAGCAAAAAGCATGCTTAGTCGGATAAGTATGCTACGTACCAGAGTACTTGTAATGTACATGCCTGTGCATAGAAAAGTTAGTGATACCTCTGGTAGATCAGGTCAGCTTTTCCTTTTAAATGTGAATAACATAATATGTTTTTACAAACAATAGGAAAAATTCAGACGACTGGACATGGGCTTACCAGAGGAGGACAAGAAAGAGGGAGAGGGAGAGGAAGAGGGAGAGGCTGTGGAAGAAAGACAGGGAGTGGAGGCTCTACACTGACACCTACCATGGCGACTGATAAGTCAGGTTTGTACAAACACTTGAAAGTGTGGACATTCTTCAATGTTTCAACCTTTGTGTACAGAGTCTGAGATTGAAGACCTCAGTGTCAGCAGCAAGACGAGTGGCCCCTCTCTGAAGGAGACACTTTCAGGTTTCATCACCACCCCATTTTCCTCTGTTCTAGTTTTGCATGTCAAGGACCACCATTATGCATAATGTTTTTACACAACATACACAATATGTAGAGCCAGAGGTGACCTCCAATGCTACTAGTAAAAAGAGGAAGAGGGAGAGCCAAGCCAAGATCAGTCTCGCGATCTAGGGGTACTTCTGGTGGATCAGGTCAGCTTTTCTTGACAACACGTGAATCCGATAACATCTTTTATTTCAAACCATAGATGCGAAGGAAGAAATTCAGACGACTGGACATGGGCTTACCAGAGGAGGACAAGAAAGAGGGAGAGGGAGAGGGAGAGGCTGTGGAAGAAAGACAGGGAGTGGCAGAGGCAGAGGCAGAGGCTCTACACTGACACCTGCCATGGCGACTGATAAGTCAGGTTTGTACAAACACTTGAAAATGTGGCCATTCTTCAATGTTTCAACCTTTGTGTACAGAGTCTGAGATTGAAGACGTCAGTGTCAGCAGCAAAACCAGTGGCCCCTCTCTGAAGGAGACACTTTCAGGTTTCATCACCACCCCATTTTCCTCTGTTCTAGTTTTGCATGTCAAGGACCACCATTATGCATATGTTTTTACACAACATACACAATATGTAGAGCCAGAGGTGACCTCCAATGCTACTGTAAAAAGAGGAAGAGGGAGAGCCAAGCCAAGATCAGTCCCGCGATCTAGGGGTACTTCTGGTGGATCAGGTCAGCTTTTCTTGACAACACGTAAATCCGATAACATCTTTTTTTTTATATACAAACTCCTGTTCCCTTTTTTTCTCTGTAGTTCCCAAGGTCAGCGGCAGGAAAACTTACCCTTTACGCTTCGCCTCACGGAAGGCATCGATATCACAAGGACTGTAAATTTTGTAAACATTTTTTGGTGTGACTCTTCAGTGACATTCCACTATTGCTGCGCCGCGCTTGCTCGGATAGACCCCCCGCTAAAATATACGGCGTGCGCGCGCAGCGCAGGCGGCGCGCGGGGAAGTCACGCGCGTGCGCCTGGCGCGCGCGGCGCTAGCTAGCTAGCTAGCTGTGCATGTGCTGTTTGTGCACGTCCAGTACACGTACAGCGCGTACTATCTCCCTCAGCTCGCTAGCAAGCAGGAGAACGTAAGTCCGACTGTCCGCCATAACGTCCGATATTGAGTATGTTCGGACTGAGCATTCAGCCGCCCCGCGATCGTCTCCGCTGCGCACCAGAATGGTCTCGAGCAGGATACCGCGGTTGACGATCCTAACCTACCTGTCCACGGTAGGAGTGAGCCTTCCCCACTTCTGGTCCGAAAGATAATGCGTCCGAACATTCAAGCCGGTCGATAATTGATTACTTACTCTACATAGACAAATGCATCACAAGGGTGGCCTACTAAGAGGTGATGATACACAACTCTAGGCTTGTCTACAGGTTGTTAACCCTCGCGTGCGCGATGCGCAGCGAGGGTGCTGTGTGATGTGTGTCCGTGTGTCCGTCCGTCCGTCCGTCCGTCCGTCCGTCCGTCCGTCTGTCCGTCCGTCCGTCTGTCCGTCCGTCCGTCCGTCGTCGTCCGTCCGTCCGTCTGTCCGTCCGTCCGTCCGTCCGTCCGTCCGTCCGTCTGTCCACCGTTTTTCTCGGTAACCGCGGCAACTCTGAGCGCATATTATCAAGTAGGAGGCATGCATGGTAAAATAAGATTCTGGAGCGGAGAAGGCCGGGGAAGCGGGCGAAACGGAGAGCTGCTGAGGTGAGTGTGCGTCAAATAGAGATAAAGACAGTTGAGTAGGAGCGAGATTGCCAGTGAAGTGAGAGCCAGGAAGGCGAATCTGTTCAGTGAAGGAGTCACTAGGCAGGTAGCTAGTAGCCATTGGTTGCTAAAATAAAGAATAAAGTGGTGACTGAGGGTTATGTATAACTGTCAAGTGCTTTTCACTTTGCTGTATAATAGTAGTAACTTGTATTGAAAACGCATGTCCAGAATAATGTGGGGTTATGCACTTTCAAGTGCTTTTCATTCTGATCAGAGCATAAATATCCAATCCTATGGTTGGCGCTTACATACCAGAAATGCCAACCCGAATAAGCAAAGACATGTCAGAGAAACCAAACACACATCACAAAGTGCATGAGGATACACCAAGAGCTCCAGAAAGCTAAGCAGAGAATACTAGTCTCCTTTAGTCCCTGTTCTACGACACATTTTCCGCACTTGTGCTGTTAGCAAACTAGGCATGAGTCACAATATTATTTGCACTTTATAAACATGTTAAATTATATTAACGAAACATTGTACTTGTCCATTGTCTTCAAGGCAGCAGAAACCTGCAGTACAAACAGAGTTTCATGGCCAATATTGAGGGTTATCCTCGTGTGAGAACCTGAAACGAGCTCCAGTGGCAGCTCTGACATCGTCAGACTCACTCCCTCCCCAATCTCCACCAGCCTCAGACCATTCTCCTACACACCTCAAACACGGCCTGTGGAAGACAATAAGACTAATGCACTATCTCCTACACAATCTCCTACACAGTATGTACATGAGGTGATGAATTTCATAACGTATTTCCAAGGCTTTAGATCAATTTGCATCCTTCAAAAACAAGTAGT